GCTGAGTTTTCCTAGCAATTTGATTTTGTTTTTGATTTGCAGCAGGTGCAGTTCTTCAACTTTTAAAATAAATACTCAACCCTGAGCTTTCTGGTTTAGGTGTAGGGACGTGACCAGTGCATCTCAAGAGCATTCAGGGCATGGTATATCTTATGACAACTTTATTGAAACTGGGAACAAAAACATAAGTTATTGAAACCAGGCCTTAGTTTCTACACCTAAAATCACATTATCCTAAACAAAACAAAAGAAAGATGCTGGAAATCAGAAATTGGTTCCTCAGAACTGAAGGGGGGTCACTGGACCTAGAACATTAACTCTGCTTTCTCTGTATGGATGCTGCCAGACCTGCTGAGGTTTTTCAAGCAATTTCTGATTTTTTTTTTGCTCCTCACTCTCCTTTGCTGGTTTTATTAAAAGAAAACACTACAACCATTCTGGCCCAAAATCTCCTCTTCACTCACTTCTTCAAATAAAGTGCTAATTTAAATAAATTGGGGTGGCACAGTGGTTAGCACTGCTGCCTCACAGCGCCAGGGAGCCGGGTTCAATTCCAGCCTCGGGCGACTGTCTGTGTGGAGTTTGCACGTTCTCCGTGTCTGTGTGGGTTTCCTTCGGGTGGTCTGGTTTCCTCTCACAGTCCAAAGATGTGCAGCCTGGGTGGATTGGCCATGCTAAATTGCCCGTAGCGCTCAGGGAGATGTAGATTAGTTGGGTTTATAGGGGGATGGGTCTGGGTGGGATCCACTGAGGTTCGCTGTGGACTTGTTGGGCCGAAGGGCCTGTTTCCACACTGTAGGGATTCTATGATAAAGTTATTGCTGGACAAGTAACTTGAAGGTGGCGGGGAGGAGTGGTGCTTCCGGACACATTGAGAATGAATGGTGGGAGTGGGAGGCAGAAACGGGTTACAGTCCTTGGGGGTGCCCTGCTTTCTTTCTGCGTGTAGCCTGCAGTAACTGGAGTCGCCGGAGAGGGGCGGTAGAGGCTGCAGGCGGAGGTGAGGGGGAATCGGCAGCGGCGACGGAGGAGGGTGAGTGAGTGAGTGCGATCGTGGGGCTGTGTGGGGAAAAGGGGGTAAACATTGGAGGGCGGATGATGTGCGAATAAACCCCGCTGAGGGGGTGACGGTTTCCGAGGCGGTGGGCGATCGTCGCCGTGAGGGCCTTTGATGCCGCAGCAAAGGAAGATGTTGGAGAATGGTTGAGGATCTCCGGCCTGTCTAACCCCCTCATCCCCACTCAGGCCCGGCCGAAGCCCTCAGCTCTCATGACAGTTTTTTAAAAAAAAATAACTACGAAGGAAAAAGGAATCGCAGAGTAATTGCAAACCAACAAACCGGGGTGCGCCACTTGGCCCCTCTGCCGTTCAATAAGATCACGTCTGATCTGATGTTGACCCCAATTCTAAGGTTCCTGCAAAACCCCCAATAGATCTTTCTCCTGCCCCATTGGAAAGTCAACAATCTATCTACCTCTGCCCCCAGAAATATTTAAAAGATTCTGACACTGCCCTTTGAGGAAAGAGTTTCCAAATCGGATATGGTCTGTTTTCTTCACGTGTCGTAAATGGTCGACCCCGTATTTTTAAATGCTGACACCTAATTTTAGATTACACCATAAGACGAAACATTTTTTTCTTAACGTTCACCTGGCCAAGTCACCTCCAGTCCTTCTTTGTTTCGATTAAGTCACCTCTGACTTTTCTGAAATCCAGAGGGTGCAGCTGTCCAGTCTTTCCTCATTTCCAGTCCAGTAAACCTTCTCTGTGTTGCTTCCAGTGCATTAACATTTTTCCATAAGTAGTGACCAATACTGTACACGATATGTGGTCTCACCAATGTCCTGTAATTCTGAAGCATAACCTCCCTACTCTTGCATTCAATTCCCCATAAACAATAAAATTCTCTTGGCTTTCCTGATTATCTGAATCCTAATGTTTTCTGATTTATGCATTAGAACACCTAGATCTCTCTGCATCTCAGCTGTGCAACTGCTCACCATTTAGGTAATAAGCTTTTTCTTATTATTTCTGCAAAAATCGACAATCTCAATATTTTCCACATTATACTTTCATTTTCCAGATTTTTGCCCATTCACTTATCCTATCTACATCCCTTTAGGCTCTTTATGTCCTCTTCTAAGTTCATTTTCCTACCTATCTTTGTGCCATCAGCAAATTTAACTACCATGTCTTTGATGGCTTCATCCAAATTATTTATATAAATTGTAAGCATTGAGGACCCAGTGCTGACCTCTGTAGCACTCCACTCACGGCATCCTGCCAGTGTAAAAAAGACCCATTTATTCCAACAGTGCTTCCTGTTGGCCAGCCAATCTTCCATAGAATCCCTACAGTGTGGAAACAGACCCTTCAGCCCAACAAGTCCACACTGACTCTCAGAGCATCCCACCCAGACCCATCCCCCTATAACCCACCCAACCTACACATCCCTGAACACTGCAGGCAATTTAGCGTGGCCAATCCATCTCACTTGCACATCTTTGGACTGTGGAAGGAAACTGGAGCACCTGGAGGAAACCCATGCAGACACAGGGAGAATGTGCAAACTCCACACAGACAGTTGCATGAGGGGGACTCAAACCCAGGTCCCTGGCAGTGTGAGGCAGCAGTGCTAACCACTGACCCACCGTGCTGCCCTTCTATCCATGCTAACCTGTTACATCCAACACTGAGCACTTATTTGCCACAATAGCCTTTGACTTGCATCTTATTTAATATCTTCTGGAAATCTAAGTACACTACATCCACTTGTTCCTCTTTATGCTGTTTATCCACAGCGGAGGTTACTTCTTCAAATAACTCCAATAAGTTAGTTAAACATGATTTCCCTGTGACAAAACCATGTTAGCTCTGCCTTATCCAAGAGCCCTGGTTTAATACCTTTTTATAATAGCATCAAACTTATTCCCTATGGTAGATGTTAAGCTGACTGACCTGTAGTTTCTTGATTTCTGCCTGCCTCCCTGTTTGGAAAATAACTAATGTAACTCCTTTATTGAATCTAAAGGAAGCTTGCTGGAACCTAATGACTTTTGGAATATTGAAACCACCACATCAGTGATGTCAGGACCTATTTCTTTTCAGACCCTAGGGTGAAATCCATCTTGTCAAATCATGCTTCCAGTGGTACTTCCTTGGTAATTTTAATTTTCTTGAGCTTCTCACACCCCTTCCTGATTTTTAGTTATTCCTGGCTGTTATTTGCATCTTCTCGAGTGAAGACCAACCCAGAATGTTTGTTTAATTTGTCTGCCATCTCTTTATCCTCCATAACTAATTCCCAGACTCATTTTCTACAGGAACACTTACTTCGTTAACTCTTGTTTAACTATCTGAAGAATCTTCTCCTCTCTGGTTTCAAAGGACTGAACTGAGAAAATAATACCAGAAATATCTGAAAAAGATTGACAGGCAAGGGGCCTGTTTTTCTAAAAAAAAAGGGCTGAGGGCTAACCGAATAGAGGTCTTCAAAATTCTGAAACATTTTGATGGATGGCGAAATAATATGAGGACATAGTCACCAAGAAATTCAGTAGAGAATTTAGAAGGAACCTGTCCACCCTAAGAGTTATGGGAATGTGGAATTCATGAGACCACACGGAGTGACAGAAGCAAACAATTTGGATGCATTTCTGGCAGAGCTAGACAAGCATATGAGTGAAAAGGGGAATAGAGGGATACAATGATAGATTTAGATGAGGAAAGCATGAACTGGGCTAAATATTTCAGAGATAGGAACTGCAGATGCTGGAGAATCTGAGATAACAAGGTGTAGAGCTGGATGAACACAGCAGGCCAAGCAGCATCAGAGGAGCAGGAAGGCTGACGTTTCGGGCCTAGACCCTTCTTCAAAAATGGGGGAGGGGAAGGGGGTTCTGGAATAAATAGGGAGAGAGGGGGAGGCGGATAGAAGATGGATAGAGGAGAAGATA